GGGTCCGGAGAGGCCGCGCCTCCCAACCCCGCGGCGGCGGCGGCGGCGGCGGCCCCCGAACGGGACCGCGGGAGCCGCTCGGCGGCAGACAATACTGAGGAGGGGTGCGGCCGCGCGCCCGCGCTCCTCGCCGACCCCTCCTCACGGCGCCCAACTTCCCCCAACTCCGTCAACTAAGTTGTGCTCTCACCTTGCGGCTCCCGGGGTTCCCCCCGAGCGCCGAGCCGAAGCCGCTCCGCACCTTCGCCGCGGTGAAAGACAATAGACGGCAGCTCCCCCAGCGTCGGCGGCGGCTGAGGCGGCGAGGAGCGGGCACGGCGGGCTAGACAGAGCCCAGGCGCTCCAGCGCGGCTGCTCCGGCTCGGTGCGAGCCCTGCACACTGCCCCGGGCAACCTGCGCATGCGCCGCGAGCCGCCCGGGGATGGGCGGGGCTCCCGAGAAGGCCCTCACGCCCCTGAGCCCTCCCATGAGTACGCGCGATTTCCAGGACCGAGAGCTGGGATTGCAAGGTAGCGCTGCCCATCAAACTCTGTGCGACCAATCAGCGGGGTGCTAGGCGGTGCGCTCAGGTTGCTAAGGGAGGCAGAGGTGGACCGCAGCTGCTGCCAGGCGGCGAAGTGATCAAAGTCGGGTGGCTGGCAGCTGCTGCTCGTGGAAATGCCCACCCACCTTCTCCTCCCGCCCCATCTCCGGAAACTGCCCTTCCTCTGCTGCCTGGTGTACACCTGAGCTGTAGCACTTGCCACACACACTGAAATGATTTACTATGTTCTTCCTCCCACGTCTAATCAGGAAGTGAGGTCTTCTCGGAGACTAACACAGGAGACTGCGAGGTAGCAACAAGTGTTACTTGGATGGGTGGACCGCGCGATGGCAGGATCAGAGCTGTCACCATGCATTTCATGAACTTTGGGCTTCTCGATCACCACACAATCATAGGCTTAGAGTTGCAAAAAAGACCTCAGAAATCAACTGGTGGTTTCTGAGGAGCAAAATATGGTCAGTATGCCAGTTGTAACTCAGGAGGTCATATTAGTTTCTATATTAAGTCTGTTGTAATGTAAATGAGGGGGAAATGCCTATCACGACTTATTTCACCGATATCATTTCTTAGGTCAATAGGAAGTTATTTTTAAAAATGAATCTACTTAAAGTGTTTTGTGAAAAATGGAGATATTTTATATGCAGCTCAAGATTATGCAAGACAAAAAATAAAAGAATATGCAAGGCTAATTCACAGCGATTGCAGCAAGAATAGTGCTTTCCTAAAGAAAGATTATTGGTTAAGGGAGAGATGGAGGGAATCCCCTTGGGTGATGGTTCTGTATTTTCTTCTGAGAGGTGAGTACAAATCTATGCATAGAGACAAGTCCTATGAAGATGTACGCTGAAAAATGGTGCACTTTACACATTTTAAAGATGTATTTTAATGGCAGTTTTTAAAAATACTGGTACCAGTTATGGCAAACAAAATAAATTGTAAATATGCAAGGGAAACCTTGATCTGAACAGTTTGCTACAAGTAACAAAATAAATACATGAGAAGGGGGGCCATGAGTACTTACTGTGTCAGGCCCTCCCACAGTTGAAAGACTGTAAATCCTAGAGATGCTCATAATATTGAGCTAAAATTTGCTGCTTTGTGGATAGGCCCCATTATTTGTATTCGTTCACAGAATGATAAAAAAAAAAAAAAGAAGAAGAAAGAAAAAAAAAGCCAAACACACCCAGTTCTTCATGTGAAATGACTGTATTTCCAAAACAACTCATCATGCTTTTGGTCCTCTTCCACTCAATCTAATCTCTCCTTGTCGGTATTTAAAAACTTGCTCAAGGAGAGGAGTCTCCTGCGTCCTCAACTTCGCTGAATCCCCATGAGCAAGTCTCTGCTTGAAAACGTCAGTCTCCTTAAAACAAGAGACTAAGCCCAAAATTCACTGGACCCTAGTGTCTGATAATCCCTACTCCTAAAGCCTGGCTGATCAGTTACAGAGGCTGATCTGTCATCTTTGAAGTAACTGCTGACAGTACCATTCACAACAGCAACTGTCAGTTCAACTATACCAAGTTTTCTAAAGGCAGTGACTTTCTACCCAAGCAGATTGTAGATAAAATTTCAGCAGAAGCCTGCCATTGCCTTAAAGGAATTCAAACTTCACACTGTTGAGGGAATTTACCAAAATGGCCTCAGAATAGAATGACTTTTCACAGCAGTTTTAAAAAGACATTCAGCATCATGATCAAATTGTTACTTTAGCAATCACCGCATAAGTAGAAACAAAACAGCAGAGAACAGACCACTGCTATTCATAAAACCCTTGGTTGGAATGCTCTACACTTTCCACAGAACACAAATTAAAATCGCTTCTTAGCCAGGCATAGCACTGCACGCCTGAATGAACTGGTGCTGAAAGAGCTAGTATAAGGTGACTTCAAGCTGAATGTCTCTGATATTAAAGGTTTTTTTTTCTTCAGGGTACACCTAATATCTCAGTAGAGTGTGCCCCACTTCAGGGACAGAGATTTCAGGTTTAATCATTTTTTCACATACCTGGTACCAGGAAAGATGTCAGAGTCATATGAAGCAGTGGTAGGATTTTCTATCTCTCCAGTTGATTTACATCTATCCAACTGATTTACACAGGTTATAAAACCTAAAAATAGAACCAGGATAAGCCCCATTTTATAGAGTCCCCAACAATGCCAAAGGGAAAAAAAAAGTCAACAATTGAAAGACCACCAATTTTTGAGATACATGGTTCGCTAGATGTCTACTTTTGTTAAAGAAGCACTGAAACAAACGTGTCCTGGGGCCTTTCTTGTGCAGCAGCAAATATTTTCTTGCTTTTGTGATAGAAATAGCTTTTTGATATTGCCTTGGGAGTGGCCACTTTCAGCCTCTCATTTGGTGTGAAGCCAATTTTACCACAATCCCAAATCTGTGACCTCAGTTTATAACTCAAACATGTGCCAACCAACACATCCTACCCACAAGCAACTGCTTTGAGTTCAGGGTTGGTGGTATGACCCCAAATGTGACAGCCAGGGACAACAGGAGTAAATTTTACCCTCCATTTGAACTGGGGGGGCGGTCTTTCTTGACTGGAATTTGTGTCCTCCTTAACTGGAATCTGGAAAGATGTGCCTATCAGCCATCTTGTCGCCACAAGGAAAGAATCTTTGAGAAAGGAGCCAGCACAGTGGAAAGATAACAAAGAAAAACCATGTTCTGGTAACACTGGTTGAACTGCTGAGTTCAGCCATACCTGAAGCTGGAACAAGATGTAGACTTTTCAATTACATAAGGCCATGAAGTCAGTCAGTGGAGGTTTCTGTTATTTACATCCACGAGAGTTCTAACTGGTGCACCACCTGTGAGCTGATGGGCTCTGCTCAATTCTCTGACCTACTTCCTTGTTCAACTAACAAATACCCATTTAGTATACTGTGTGCAGGTATTAGGCGCAGTCCTGGGATGGTAGGTAAACAGCAAGGCTCCTGTTCAAGGGACTCACAGTCAAGTGAGAGAACAAGGCAAAGCCAAAAGAGATCAAATGCGTGAGCTCTTTTAAAGAGGCAAATGTCAGGTGTTCAGAGGCACAAAGAAGAGGACTAACTTCTAGTCAGAGGTTGAAAGATCAAAAAATGTATCTGTGTCAGTCAGCCTCCCCTTACTGTGACAAAATAATGGAGATAAAACGAGGAGGGGATTATTTTTGTTCACTGTCTTAGAGGTTTAAGTCATAGTACCTCATAGCAGGAGCACACGGCAGGTCTTTTTACTATATGGTGGCTGCAAAGCAAAGAGAGACAGAAAGAGGCCATCTCCTAAAGGGAACACCAGCTTCCAAGCGGAGGGCCAAACCATTAACTTGTGGGCCTACAGAGGCTATCCAGATCCACACAATGGCAGCATCTGAGAGGATGACAGATAAACTGGGTCTCAGAAGATAATCAGTGAGGACAGTGAAGAAGGCTCAGATGTATGCACACAGATAAAAGAGCTTCCCCCCACAAAATACTGGAAGAGATTCAAAAGCAAAACATTATCAGAAACACAACACACATAGAAAATGGGAGAAGCAAATGGTAGTAGGTGAAGGAAGAGGAGCAGAAGCGCACTCATGAGTGGCCTGATGGCTCCATGCTGTTTTATTTGGTCTTCATTCTAAAAGACAAGAGGACTTCTAAAATAAGTGTGAGCAGTGCAACCGCAGAACAGCTGTCCTCCTAGAATGGTCGCCTCACCTCTAGATACACTCAGGTTAGTGGGAAATGAGAATGAGCACGGAGACAAGAGAACCTCTGGGAGAAGCCTAATTCCAGGTAGACAGTTTTGAATTTCAGAGCTTAGTTTTCACTTCTTTGGGCAGAGGGAACCTTTCTTTCTTAATGTCAAGCACGATGTATGCTTCCAATGTTTGTGAGCCAGGTATATGATTCTAAACTTTCTGATAGCCAAGTTCCAAAAGTAAAAAGAAGTTGGACATGGTGGTATATGTCTGCTATTCCAGCACTCAGGAGGCTGAGACAAGAATTGCCATGAGTTCAAAGCTATCCTGGGCTACATAGTGAGACCCTGTCTCAAAAAGCAAAAAAGAAAAAAGAAAGAAAGATCACCACAAGTTGAAGGACAATCTGGTGTGCATAGTAAGTTCAAGGCCACCCTGAACTGACTACATAGCAAGACCTTGTCTCAAAAAAAAAAAAAAGATTTCATTAACTATATCCCAAATATTACCATTTCAATATGTAGCCAATATAAAAAATTATACATTCTTTTCATTGTATGAATAAGGTACTCTTTTTCTTTTTTTCAATACCAGAGATTGAACTTGGAGCCTTGCACTTGCCAGCAGGTGCTTCTGGCACTGAGTTCTATCCCCAGCCCTATTGTACAAAATCTTCAAAATAAATAGGACATATTTCACACATATGGCACATCTCAATTCACACTAGCAAAATATGTTCGTTTGTTTGCTGGGTTGGGTATTGAGCCTAGGGCCTCACCCATGCCAGGGATTCATGCGTTACCACTGAGCTGTAACTCCAGCCTTAGACACTTTCCACAATGCTCCGAAGGCTGGTGGCTCCTATACTGGCCAACAAAGAGCAGATTGGCTGATTATTTTGTTTTCTTTCTTTCTCTGTTTTTGCTTCATTTTGTTTGATGGGGTGGGAAGTAAGCCCCAGGCTCACGTGATCTCCACCACTGACCTCTACTCCTGGATTCTGGATTGGCTCAGGTACAGATCCTTTATGGGCAGTCCCTACCAAACCTCAGTATGTGCCTAGGGTCGTAGTTCCTGGGCTGTGCCTCTCTCTCGCATTATCTCATTTATTCTCCTCAGTAGCCTTTAGGCTGGCACTGCTATCCCAT